CCCTTTACTCCCCAGGAAGTTTCCTCATACTCATTTATGTTAGAGGCTGAGACGACCCCGAGGCCATAGTGCGGCTGGAAAGATTAGATAAATTAAAAAAAAAATTCAGCGACCTCATCGGAAATCGAACCTGCGAACTTCCGGGTTGTACCAGAGTGCCTCAACCAGCTACGCCACCGCGTTCCCGTTAAGTTGTACAGGGACATGGACCGTTAAGGTGTGAAATATGAACTATAGCAATTCTGTAAAAAGCTTAATCCCGAGTGGCCACAAAGTGTTTCATTTTGTTACATTTTATTGCTCAGTTATGGTTGTTTAATTTTTTCAGTTTTTGGAGGTATCAAATTTTTTAATTCTGCTAAGTGATTTTTGGATTCCTGGGAGTTCAAGTTAACTTTTGCACGAATTACCTACGTTGCACTCTGTGTGTGAGAGCCGGGATAGCCCAGTCGGTATAACGACTGGCTGCGGGATGGACGATCGAGGAGTTGGAGTTTGAATCCCGGTAGTGTCAAGAATTTTATCTTCTCTACGTCGTCCAAACCGACTCTGGGGCCCACCCAGCCTCCTATCCAACGGGTACCAGAGGCTATTCCCCGGGGTTAAGGCGACATGAGCGTGAAGCTGACCACTCAGTTCTAATAAGTGCCGAGGTGAAGAAAAATGTGGATCCCATTCGCCTTCATGGCGTAGTGCTTAATTAGTTAAGCACAGGGAACGTCACCTTTTATCAGTCTGTTTATGTTGCTTTGTATAACATGACTGCTGTGTAAGTTTTAATCTATCTTGCAGTCGATTGGCTTACGGGCAATGCGAGATAATGTTGCCAGGCCGATGTCACTTGCATGATGATCTTATCCGATTGGTTATGGTGGTAACTGAGGCGAAGACAAGATATTGTGTGGTTCTCTGACGGAGTATACTGTATATAGGGTCTTACTGTTAACGTTACAGAACCTTAGCATGAAGACAGAACCAAACAAGTGGAAGTAAACACAGCAGTTCGCTGAGAGACCTTGGTTATGTAGACATAATGGCCACGTGAAAGGTTGCAACCGGAAGAGGTTGCCAAGCCCACTTCATTGTAATGACTTTTAGCAAAAAAGCGGAATAATAATGTTAGTTGCGTAACGGTTTGTTTTTGTTACTTGACATTGTGATATTATAAGAGTTAGTAGTCTCCTTTTCGACAACTGATAGGTCTATAGCGCTCGCTGTTGGCATGATGGGGTTCGGATGAACTAGACTTTATAGGATATATTTTGAACCTAAAAGCGGGAAAATAACTGGAGGATTGAGAATGTTCCTTGAGGGGGCGCTATACTTCCAACCCCCCTCCCCCCATTCTTCATTTCTTCATGACTTGGTGCTTAATTAAACAAGCACAGCTTTTACTTTACCTTTTTTTTTTTTTATTTTTTACTCACCAAGTTACGGTTATCAAATTAGGAGGCTGAGATGGGTGGGATATATAGCATGAATGAAGAAAATGAAGAATCTTTACTACCAACTTTATATTTTGGAGCGAAAATTTGAAGGGAAGGGACCGCTTGAGAGACCAAGGATTATATTGAAATTGACCTTAAAGAACGGGTTATGAAGGTTTGGATTTGACTCATTTGGCTCATTTACTAGTAATAATGAACGAAATCACTCTACTGAGAAGGAAAATTGTTCTAAACAAGATTAAATTCACTCGTCTGCTCAAGCAGCCACCCTTTTTTTTTATGAAACTTGGACATTACAGAAAGAGAATGGACACAGACATCCATGCCTTCAGTGAGATTCGAAACCACGATCCCAGTGTTCTAGCGAGCGAAGACATCACTTTCTTAGTACCTTTCTTTCTTCGTCCCTTACTACATTTTTCTTTATTTTTTATATTTTTCCTTCTTTGCATTTCCATTTCTTTCCATCATTATTTTTAGGCGACTTTCCAATCTCTTCGACTACAATCTTTATGTTAGTCTGCCTTGACCAAAATCTCTCTGTTACCAAACAACACAGTCTTATCGACATATCTCAGCTGCATCTTACCATTTTTCCATGGAATACATACACATTTTTTTTTCTTTGTCGCTATAGCCCCAATTTGGGCCCTGGATTACCCCCATGAAACTCCCCGTTTCACTTCGGTTTACTAGATCTTAGACATTCAGTAGAACTCTTTGGGAGGGTAATAAGCTCGTCGCAAGGCCTCTACCTGTACACAAACATAGAAACACACAAACACTAAACATCCATGCCCTGAGTGAGATTCGAACTCAAGATCCCGGTTTCCGAGCGAGCAAAGACAGTACATGCCTCAGACCTCTCGGCTACAGATTTCCAGCTTAAAAATAAGAAAATCCATTGATCAGTGGGGAACATAGAAGACACTCCCACAGTTTTCACTGTCTTCTTGTTAAACCCCACTCCGGAGGCTTAATCTTAACACGGAACGTGTACGTTAACCTAAGCATCGATTGATAGATAACTTGGTTCCTTGTTATGCTGAAAGTGAGTTTTTCGTTCCGCCATGTAACGAGACTAAAGAGCACTTCCCACTGTGTAACAGCCATTGTTCCGTTGCCATTAAAACACTGATCGTGTCTTGCCTCTGATTTTAATTAGAAGATTTTGACGTATAATCAGCCAACTGCATCTTTGAGCGAAGTGTTTTAAGGTTCGTTGCATTGAGGCTTTGCATGTCCTGTCGTTTCTGTTTGCTCTGTTCCATGTAGGCTTAATCGAAGTAGGTAGAAGCCACAGGTTCCGTCTGTTTTTTGCGTAATCTGATAAAGTAAAATCAGAAGGCGGAAGGCGTTGGTTATGTCCAGTCTAACCCTTACAGAGATACGGATTATGAGAAGGTATGTAATCGTGAGAGCCGGTCACGGTAGCCGAGCGGTCTAAGGCATGCACTGTCTTCGCTTGCTCGGAAGCCGGGATCGTGGGTTCGAATCCCACTCAGGGCATGGATGTTTGTGTGCGTTTTTCTGTGTTTGTGTACAGTTAGAGGCCTTGCGACGAGCTGATCACTCGCCCAAGGAGTCCTACCGTATGTGTAAGATCGAGAAAAACGGAAGTGAACGGAGAAGTTCATGGAGGTAGGCCTAGGCCCACTGGGGCTGTAGTGCCAAGGCAAAAAATGTAATCGTGAAGAAATCAATACCGAGATTATGACGAATTTTCGCGTTTTTATCGCCCCTGAAAACGATAAACTAGTGTCTGGAATGCCGTCTGTATGTGCACCTCGCTAGCGCCTGAGCTGTTCAACGGATTCTTTTTAAATTCGGTATCATATGTTGGGGGCTTCGTGAATATGAGTATTCTAGCTCTAAAAGTAGGGGGGCCTTCAGATTACCCTCCCAAACACTTTGACTTTCCTCTATACGATTTTGGTTTTCAATAATTTATGGAGACCATGGGAATCTGTATAACGACTGGCTACGGACTTTATGACCGGGGTGCGATTCCCGGCATGGAAAGATTTCTGTCGTCTCCACAGCGTCCTGGCCGACTCTGGTGCCCACCCAACCTCGTACCCAATAGGTACCTGGGGCTCTTTTCCCGGTTTTAAAGCGGCTGGGGCGTGAAGCTAACCACTGTCACCCGTCTAGTGCCGAGATCAAGAATGACTGAGTTACACCTCCACTCCTTATTTATCTTCTTAATTAATTAAGCACAGGGGAAAATGTTTACGTTTTACCTTTATGCAGACCATCTCCCTACATAAATCTGCATAATGAGACTCCTTGGCAGCCGAAACTTGTGTATGGCAATGTGTTCACACTGACCTCTTTTCTTTATTTACTTGCGAGCCCCGAATCGGGCGGAAGAGCCGAATGTTCCTGCCACTGTGACACCGTATAGTCGATGGACGTTAAGCAGCGTTTCAGAGAAACGTACACTCACCGTTATCAGGTTCTAAGAGTAAGCCAAACAAGCAACAGGCAAGAAGCAAGAAGCTAAATGCAGATGAGGATGAATTTGCATGGCACAAAATACTTTTTGACCGTGATCATGGATGTAGTACATTCCTCCGAAGTGTCAGTGAACTTTGCCAGATTACACGTCATCACACCGTACGAAGTGGCACCATATCCACTAAGGGGTTCCCAGGAGCCAGACTCTAGAGCCTTACCTGGGTCGCCTTTTCCAATCCACAGCCTCACAAAATTAAGTCAAAGTCACATCGCGACTGGCAGTCTGTCAATCTATTTTAGTGTCTAGCCTCATCTGGGGTTCATAACCAGATATTAGTTCCAGTTTGACAGTTATTCTCCTGTCCGCGTTGGGCGCCCTATTTGACGAGAGGATGGGTTTGTCGTTTATCAGAGTCACGGTCAGCAGCAACAAGTCAGTTGTTTCTATGTACTGTATATTTACATGTTATTAGAAGTATGTATATACAATATATACAAGCCCTTCATCAATCCAGCCTCAGTACAACGAATCATGTCCTGTCTTCAGTAGCTTTCGCTTCAACGACAGTCTAGTCACTTGAACGGTCGTGTGCTTGACCGCCGCCAAACTTAAGCCTCTTCACACAATTATCTCCTTGAGATCTGATTTAACACTGTGCTCCCGTCTTTGCCTAGGTCTCCCGAGCGATTTCTTCCTGACCGACAAAAATTTATGAATTTATCATCTCTTTCATGTGTTCTTCATCTTTACCTTCATCTTCTTCGAAAGTACATGGGCCTGTTTCGCCCCTTAAATAAGGCGACCCTGAAAATTAACCGAACTATACCAAAAACGCTCTTTATGATCGTCTGTGGTTTGTTCTGCTATGATCTGAACCCAGAGAGAATGAAACAATCATATCCGCCCTAATTGAACTGGTAACAGTAGCTCTGATTAGCAGCGCTTTGGTTTTTGACACGCGTGAAGTGCGGATTAAGAAGAATTTACTTTGCACAAAAAGTTTACCCCCCCTCATATTTTCATTCTCCGCAAAGTTTCCTAAGCAAATTCTGTAAACATGTACTACATATCATTTGATGTTGATTCCTCAGGTGGTGCAGCGGGACGTCGAGTCGCATGGGAAGATCGTCTGTTCCGTTGTCAAACTGTGTGAGAAGATAGCGAGGGCTGATCCTTCGACACTCGGGATCAGGGGGCACTACGATACAGCGCATGCGCACCGTGTGGCTCGCAATTTGGAGCGACGCTGGCATCATCTGTACCTGCGTTCTTTGGAGTGGCAGTGCCATCTAGAAGCACTTTCAAGCAAACTGAGAAGCAATGTGAGTACACTGATAGCTTTTCATTGAGAATGCAAAGGAATAAAGCCTCTTTACATAGTTAAGTGAATGATTGATAAATCTTCTGTTCATATAGTAATGGTGTCTGCCCCACTGATTTAGTTGTGTCCTCGCCTGTAATATTGTTGGCATCCCCCCCCCCCACCCGTCTGTACCGTCTCCGTGGTACTGTACCTAGCGGCAAAAATAGCCATTTCAAAACCTAACAGAAAGTCCAGTCTAGAAAACCGAGATTAACGGCCGTGGGGATCCGTTGCGCTGACCACGCGACACTCTCTATCCGTTAAAGTTGGCACTAACTTCGCCGACAAGCGGCGATCGCGCCATCTGTGAGTTCGCTTGCGGACTAAAACCATGGAGTCATAGAAGGAAAGTAGTCGAAACAATGTATATGAATTTATATAAAACTTATTCACAAGTGCTACAATTGAGAGATTGGTACTAATTTCCGGTGGCGATTCAGTAAATCAAATGTACAAAACAGTCATCAGCAACACGGATTACGCCCTTTGCCTGTCTCGGTTTCAAGAGTTAAAAGAGGAAATGTAGAGCTTATTCATTTTTTTTATTTACGTCCATATAACTTCACAGCTTTCAGTTGTAGCGAGAATTCAAAACAATGGCGTCTTATGACCCGGAATAAAAATAGACCACATGACGTGAGGTGACATTCTCTGCCCTGACATAAGGTTTTATAGGAATATTATACGAAGAAATCAGTAGACCTGGCCGAATAGTAGGTCATGATAAATTGTATTTGGTTTGTAACATATTCTATGGCTGTACAGCCCTTTGGAGCTTGGCCACTTTTTCATATCCTTAATCCTATACACAGACGATAGGACTCCTTGGACGGGGGAACAGCCCGTCGCATGTCCAGTGAGATTCGAGCCCACGACCTTAATGTTGGAGCAGACGAAGTTGGTTCATGCCTTAGACCACGCGGTCACTGTGATCGGCCTGTAACAATTACCAATTGATTAACGTAACTAACTCCAGGCTGGACGACTTTAGTTTATCTCCCGAGTTTTTACCCTTTGGACCTATATGTGTTTCGGGGGGGGGGGGCTGCGAGATTACGTAAGCTTCTCATTTCCTCATCTGGCATAGAGTGAGCTCCTGGATGTGTGCACTCCAGTGTGGGTGGCGAGAAGGTACTTTAGTTGTACTTTACAGATTCTCTGAAGTCATTTAATAACATATGATTCATAACGCTGCATTCATCTTAGGCATTGCCCCTTGGCTGAGGTATCGGCGTATTCGTTAATTATAGGAGCTATCGACGCTTTTGGGAGTTGTCTGTGCTCACATCCTGAAATGACAAGAGAAGCTGACTCACGCGTTCTGTGGAGCAGACGACTTTCTGGGGAGAGACTGATAAGAGTTTCAGCTGGTTAAAAAATCCTGCTGCATCAATGCCCTCCAAATGCTCGTTACTGTGCTCGTAAGAGGCCGCTACTGATCTATATCCTAGGCCAAATGAATTCACACGATATGCTCACACAACTTTTCTGTAAGTTTTATTTAAATATTTCCTTCATCTTAGCCTATGTTTACCAAGTCTGTCCGATGAAGTACTGCGCGAATATCTCGTTTTCCATGTGAGATATACGCATGTGTCCCGCCCATCTTGTCCCTGATATGACCACGTAATGATACTTCGTGAAGAGCACAGATTATGAAGCTCCTTGTTACATTATTTTCTTCAGCTTTACTTCGGGTCTCTTACTTCACGGTAGTCTCCTCAGCACTCTTTTCTAAAACACTCTCAATTTATATTTTCTCCTTTGGGCTGCAAACCGAGTTCTGCGTCTATATTTTGGCGTGCCGCCTAAAAGCCATAATATCTGAGTCACAGCGGGACATCCTCATGCCGGCAACGGTCAATGAACCGCTCGGGACGAGCACCTGTAAAGAGGGACCGAAATCCGGCTATAGGGCGACGCGGAGAGCCAAAGGAACTGACCCGAGGAGATTGGAGATCCTGGAGGAAGTTGGCTGCCGTCTGCAGGAAGGTGTCCCGCCGTGCAAGAGTGCCATGGCGCAGGGAAAACATCTTTTGGAAATCTTGGACCAAGGAATATAGTGGATCCCAGAAGAGAGTGACCGTTGCCAGCAGGAAGATGACCCGCTGTGACTCAGATATTCTGGCTTTTAGGCTGCACGCCATTTTATGAAGGACAGGTAAAATTACAGCTTTCTCGCTAAGATATTACAGAATTACTGACAGACTCCTGTGCTCTAAAGATTAGTAGGCACTTAGTATAGTACTTCAGGAGCTCTCAGTTCAATCCCAAACACTGCCATTAATACCGAAAGTAAAATATGTTGTAGGATAAGCCTACACCAGTATAATGGCAGGGAAGGGATAGCTCAGTCAGTGTAGTTACTTTGCTATGGAGTGGACTATCGGAGAATCGGGCTTCGGTTCCTGACAGGAACAGATGGTTTTCACGTTCTACATAGCATCTAGGCCCCACTCTACCTCCTGTTAGTGAGTGCCAAGGCTGAAGCGGCAGGAGTGTGAAACTGGCCACTCACAATCTAGTGCTGAAGTTAGGAGTGCGTGAAGCTGCACGTCCATTCCGACGCACGCCTTCATGGTGTGGTGCTTAATTAAGCACAGGGGCAACTTAATTTTTTACCTTTATGAGTTTAGCCGCATCTGATCACTTTAAGACGGGGTTAGAACGAATTGTCGAAACATCGTGTGCTGTAAGTACACTGGAGAACATGTACAATGTGTAACGCAATTGCAGTGCACATAGACCCTGCTCTTCTTATGGTGGGCGTTCATAGAGGAGCTACACTTCTGTTCGTGATGTTCGTTTCAATCCCTGACGTAGGATATGGAAGAATTCGTTAAGCCCCCAGCTTTTGATTGGCGTATAATAGAGAGGGAATTTTCAGAACGAGAATGGGGCCCTTCAACTGTTCCATCTTCCGTGAAATTGTTTCCGTAGCAGTTTGAAGCGAGTATAATTGGTCGACGGCCCCAGGGCTGGGGTGTGCCGTGCCGGGGATTTACCTCGGACAGATGGCTAAGACAGGTGTTTGTAGAGCAAACATAGATAAGGTGGCCAGCTGATGATTTCCATGTTTGCCGAACACTTAGCGACGGGTGTTACTTACGTAGGGCAGTTATTTATGGGCGAACCGTGACTCTGACGACGTCATAGGTTTTAATTACGAATCCCGTTCTTATATGTATCAAGCAACATTATTGAGAAATCTAAAAGTGGGGGGTGAATCTTTGGTAAATTGCTTTTCGCCTTTCATTATCAGTCCTGCAGACCGCCTCTGTGGTCTAGTGGTCAGAGTTCCTGGCTATAGATCTAGAGGTCCGGGTTAGATTCCAGGCGCTACGACATTTTATGAGAAGTAGTGGGTCTGAAACGGGGTCCACTCAGCCTCGTGAGGATAATTGAGGAGCTATCTCAGGAAAATAGCCCCTCCGGTCTATAAAAACGAAATTAACGCCCGTGGGGATCCATTGCGCTGACCACGCGACACCCCTCTATCCACAAAACGTGGGCACTAACCTCGCCGACAAGCGGCGGTCGCTCGATCGGCCACGGAGTTTCTTTTCAGTCCTAAAATTACAGGTCTGTATAAGAAGTTTTCAGCTACTGGAGTTGGAAGCTCGCGTTGACAATGTATCGGCGTTTGTCGGGGTTTGATTGGGAGACCACCGTCTTAAGAAATGTTACACAAGGCCTCGGGCTTCGGTGGGATCTTTGGAGCTGCGAGGAAATGACAAGCGAAGAGCAGAGGGGGAGGGTGTACAGTGGAGTCATTAGGCTCAGGATAGGCGTCAGTGGCGGTGCCTAGCGGATACGATAACGAACCCTCGGGTTCCACAAAAGACGAGGAGGCGTTTGTTGACTAAGTTCACTATCAGATTCCAAAGAAGGACCCTGCTCCATGTAAACTTAGTTATATCTCCCAAAGACGAAGTTTGTTATGGGTTTTCCAGGCTTAAGAAAGTTATTACGGTAATACCGCGATCATTTGTATTCGATTGTCATCCGATGGGTATCATTTCTGTAGGGACCAGAACTTCAGCTTGCAACGATTGACTGATTTTTTTTCTGCAGGAATACTTTTTCAGCACAGCGGAGCACAAAACGAATTGGTAAAGATGAGAAGAACGAAAACCCGTTAGGGGGGTTTCAGTTGCAGAATTTGGATTGAGGTTTGTTTTCTTCTTCTTCCTTCCTATTCCTGTCCTATTACTGTTGTCTGAACGTAGGCCAGCGTTTCACTTCAGTTTCTTAATCTAAGACAGTCGGTAGGACTCCTTGAACGGGGATCAGCCCGTCGCAAGGCCACTACCTTACACAAACAGAATAAATACAGACAACTATGCCTTGAATGGGATTCGAACCCACGATTCTATTGTTCGAGCGGGCGATGACATTTCATGCCTTAGACCGCGCAGCCACTGTGATCGGCGAGTTTTGGTATAGGCTAATGTTGGTTACATCAGTCTCATCTACAGAGACCACATACGCAGTTGTATGGTGTGTAGTTTTCTGAATGCGAGTGCTGATGGATTACCGAAGCTTCCCACCTGAAATCTGTCAAGTCTTACCTGTTTAAGGTACTGAATTAACAATGCGCGAAATGTGAGGTATCCGAACGAAAGGTATTATTTCTCTTCTGAAAACAGATAAGTCGCACCTCATGCGGTTTATGACGAGAAACGAAATATGGAACACCCGGGAAGGGAAGGACTCCGCGTGAAGTCTTGAAAGTTGTGTCATACAGATTTCATGTGGAGAGAAATATGAGGACATCCCACGGGAGAGATCCCTTTTCCTCCTCTGCCTAGGCCCACTGGGGCTGTAGTGCCAAGGAAAGAAAAATACATCCACTCCCGCATACGCCTTCATAGTGTTGTGCTTAATTACTCTAGCCGGGGAACAACAACTTCTGCGCAACATACACCGAAGAGAATTCACCGTTTGGCCACTAGCGCG